GATTGCTGATCCAAACCAGAGCCGGACGCCGGCGACCGGCCCTGCTAATCAGGACCCCAAAGCTTGCTCCTTTATTTGTGGTGTCAGGCACCCCAAAAGGGGTAGCCTTGCAGAACTTGAGAAATCGCATTCTTTAACAGGCCTTTGATAAAAGAATTCTTACTTTCTAGCAGAGCTTTCCTAATCACAACCACCACATGCAGAGCTTGCCTTAGGGGTGGAGGGGTGGAGAGGAGTGAGGTGAGTGGAGGGGTGGAGGGTGGATGGGGTGTGAGGGGTGGAGGGGTTTCTTATGAGTACGTAATGAGTTCATTTGGCAGCGAGCCTCCCGCATGCAGGTTCGAAGCAATGAGTACCGTGGTTCCTGAGGCCAGAGTGAGCCGAGGTCAAGCCAAGGCGAAACCATCGGCCAAGAAAAAGCCGTTGAGCTTGGGCAAGATGGCTAAGAAACAGCAGAAGAGATCGCAGATGATGAAGGCGGGAAGCAAGATTCCCAAGAATGAGGATCCGCCGGTGCCTTTGCCTCCGCCGAGTGAGGCCCCTCCGTTGGCGGATGGGGCCCTTCGCCCATCAGGGACATGGCGAGTGATAGATGAGCGAGCAGGCACAAGTGTGTTTGGGCGATCAGGTGAGATCCTGGGTGAGTCGACTGAGAATTACCACGTGCTGCTTGGGGTGTGCCCGCACATGGGGGGCAAAGAGAGGAAGGAGTGGGTGAGCAAGCGCTATGTCGTTGAGATTGGCAAGGACGTGAAGGCATACAAGTGGCAGCAGATGAGCTTGAGCCGGCACTGGAAGCAGGAGATCCTGGGTGAGATGGGTTTGTTGAGCGAAGACCTGGACCTGCTGGGGTCCCTGGATGAGGTCGATGAGCTGCCATTGAAGATGCCAGCTGGGGGCATCAGCCTCCAGCACATCCATCTGGGCTGGGCCCTGATGAGATGGCAGCTGGAGAAGAGTGGGCATACGCATGAGGAACAAGCCAAGACAATGAGTTTCGTGAGCCCTGGGTGGACCCAGCCGCTGTATTTAGCCCATGAGGAGCCACGGATTGATGTGGATGAGTACGCAAAGGTAGTGAAGAAATTGATGAGTGAGCACAAGCTTTGTTTTTTGCCATTGGGCTCGCATGGGCATTGGGTTCTGCTGGTCGTTGACCGGCGATCAGCACCGATGAGCATCAGGTCCCCCACATGACACTTGCAGTTTATTATACTATGCATATATATATGTATATATATATATATATATATATATATTAAACATATATATATATATATATTAATCTTATATATATATATATATTAAACGTTTTGTATGGTATATATAAATATGGAATATAGTAGAAGCCAGAAAGTTGGAACATGGCTTTAGGAGGATTAGTGCTAGAATCCCTTATACTTTACCTTAAGGGCATGAGGAGTCTGATGTTCCAACTTTCTGGCTTCTACTATATGCCTTAAATTATAGAGTGAATGTAATGAGGGACCCTAAAGCCTTCCCATGAGGTACTACGACAGCCTGCCTGATGAGTCGCAGCAGTGCCGTGAGTACGCGGCGAAGGTCCTGGCGAGCCTGCTGAGCCTTGGATTGGTGGATCAGGCAGAGCTTCCTGAGAGGATGACAAAAGTGCATCAGGGAGCAGATGAGTGTGGGATCTTCTTGCTGGCGAGCCTTGAGCGGGAGGCAGCTGAGGCCATGGGCCATGGCCCGGCTGCCACTGGCTGGCCAACATGGGCAGCGAGCCGATGGCACTTTGGTTATAATTAATTAGTTGAGTACTTATGTATTTCGTTGCTTTTTAAAAATAGAACATACGTATTTTTTAATAGTATCCCAACCCTGACCCAGGCATGAGAGGCTCCATAAGGGGAGCACCGGCTTGAAGATTGAGCAGAGCAAGAGGATTGGGGAATTGCAGAAGCATCATGAGACTTGGTTTTTTTCCGATTGTGTAGTACATAACTTTTTGAAGTATTAAGGTAAAAGCCAGAAAGTTGGAATATGATTATCCTAACCCTTCTATGGTAAATTATAGGGTATCCTACCATGAAACCATATTCCAACTTTCTGGAGCTCGCTGTAGGAAGTAGGCAAGTAATTTGTACTCAAGTAACTTGAAATTGGTAGAGAGTAGGTGGTAGGTACTAGGTAGTACTGCTGATGATCTAAATCCTGCATTACCCATAATAAGGAATATACCATAAATTCCATAGTCTACGGCCCTTAAGGTCATGCAGGATTTATATCATCAACCGTAGGAAGTAGTTTAGTAATTAGCGGTCATAAGTCAGCCAAGGAGAAGCTGATCGCCCAAGGTGAGAAAGCCAAGAAGGAGCGTGAGCACTTGGCTGAGGTCGCCGCAAAGCGGATGATGAAAAACCTTGAGCTCAATGAGCTCCAAAAGAAAGCTTATGAGCTGGTGCATGACGGAGGGCCGATTCTGGAATCAGAGCTGCCCGATGAGTACCGCAAAGAAGCTCTTAGGATCAAGCTGTATGAGATAGGCGTTTGCAGCAAATGCAGACACACCTCAGGATGTCTGCGCTGCGATGAGTCCAAATGCTTGGCCTACTACATGAGACTTGAAGCCAAAAAAACTGGCCGGGTCATCCGAGATGAGTACAAGCTCTGAGCATGAGGCAATATGTGCCTTTCTCATGTGCTTGAAGACATGAGCGCCAGATCTGAGCATGAGCCAAAATGAGCCTTTCTGAGGTGCTTGAGAACTTAAACACCCAACCCCAAACCCTAAACACCCAACCCCAAACCCAAAACCCTAAGCCCTGAACCCGAAACCCCGAACCCCAAACTCAAAACCCTAATTAAACCTCGAACCCTATTTTACCCTAAGTCTTTTGCGGGGTGACTTTGGGTGGTTTGGGTTGGGGATTTCTAGCTGTATGGGATTTCAAGAGGGGGTTCTGCCTAATTGTGTTTTGGGTTCTGAGCCTTGTTTAATTTGGGGCCTAAACCCTACACCCTACTAAGCTAGCCACCTAACCCTTAGAATTACCCTAATTGACAGCCTATACTTGAATGGGGTGACGTTAAAGGTGTTTGGGTTTAGGATAACTGGGGGGGAAGTAATTCTAAAAATTATTGGGGACTGTAAACAACGATCTTCTCTAATCTGAGAATTGTTCAGGGTCCATAAGAAGGGTTGGGTGGTGTGGGGTCCTAACTAACCAGGGGCTGTAAGCTAAAAAATTAATTAGGGGGTTCTGGTTGCTGTGAGGGATTAGACCCTTTTTAATCAGGGGGTTATCTTTAAGAATTATTCAGGGTCCATAAGAAGGGTTGGGTCGTGTGGGGTCCTTACTAATCAGGGGCTGTAAGCTGAAAATTTAATTAGGGGGGTGCTGGTTGCTGTGAGGGATTAGACCCTTCTTAATCAGGGGGTTATCTTTAAGAATTATTCAGGGTCCATAAGAAGGGCTGGGGGCTGTGGGGTCCTAACTAATCAGGGGCTGTAAGCTAAAAAATTAATTAGGGGGGTGCTGGTTGCTGTGAGGGATTAGATCCTTTTTAATCAGGGGGTTATCTTTAAGAATTATTCAGGGTCCATAAGAAGGGTTGGGGGCTGTGGGGTCCTAACTAATCAGGGGCTGTAAGCTAAAAAATTAATTAGGGGGGTGCTGGTTGCTGTGAGGGATTAGACCCTTTTTAATCAGGGGGTTATCTTTATGAATTATTCAGGGTCCATAAGAAGGGCTGGGGGCTGTGGGGTCCTAACTAATCAGGGGCTGTAAGCTGAAAAATTAATTAGGGGGGTGCTGGTTGCTGCGAGGGATTAGACCCTTTTTAATCAGGGGGTTATCTTTAAGAATTATTCAGGGTCCATAAGAAGGGTTGGGGGCTGTGGGGTCCTAACTAATCAGGGGCTGTAAGCTAAAAAATTAATTAGGGGGGTGCTGGTTGCTGTGAGGGATTAGACCCTTTTTAATCAGGGGGTTATCTTTAAGAATTATTCAGGGTCCATAAGAAGGGTTGGGGGCTGTGGGGTCCTAACTAATCAGGGGCTGCGAGCTAAAAAATTAATTAGGGGGGTGCTGGTTGCTGTGAGAGATTAGACCCTTTTTAATCAGGGGGTTATCTTTAAGAATTATTCAGGGTCCATAAGAAGGGCTGGGGGCTGTGGGGTATCCTGTCTAATTGGGGGGACATTTTATTTATTTCGGGTTCAATTGAAAGTCAATCAAATTGTTTCTGTGGATGGAACGAGCCTGTCTAATTGGGGGGGTTGTTTTTTCAATTTTTTATCCTTATTTGGGGTTCAATTAAAACACATACAAATCTGACCCCAACACCCGGCCCGTGCCATTCTAATCAGGGGAATTTCCTAATCAGGTTCCTACATTAGTGTGGTTGCAAAATCGGTGAATCACTTAAACCCTCTGCCTGCGTACTCGCCTTTTAACTGCCCAAGAGAGAAGACTCTCCTACTTCTGGGGTTCGGGGTTGAGGGGCGCTTTCCTGCAAAGCCGCCAGGCCAAGATTACAAATTGTTGCACCGGTAGGTCACAGAATTTTTAGGACGAAAGGTGGGGCAAATGCAGGTTGAATAAACCGTGGAACACAGAGCAATCGGCAGAAGAAGATGAGCTCGAGGAACATGCAACGAGGCATACCCTAAACCTTATGCACACAACCTGCTTTGGGACGTGTTACAACAAAAGAGTTCCCTGTCCGGGCATAATATGCGATCAGGATCCTACTACTTAGGGTGTGGCGCTCGCTTCTGACGGCTCGAAACCTAACCCCTCTAACTCTCGTAGTTTCTGAGACCACCGTCCGAAACCTAACGCCCCACGCCCTAAAACCCTAAGCCCTTACAGACCCGTTGAAAGGAGCCCTCTCTCTCTCTCTCTCTCTCTCTCTCTCTCTCTCTCTCTCTCTCTCTCTCTCTATATATATATATATATAAACAAGAATCTACTGAAATGAAACTTAGCCCTAGATTGAGCCCCAAAGACCTGGGCTTCTCTGAGGCGGCTGGCCCACATCTGCCGCTCGTAGACGGTCGCGTTGGCAGATTTATCCACCCGCCAAAACTTCTTCTGGCAGTCCTGCAGAGTGTTGAGGCTTCCAGCCTCTAAGCCCTAATTTCTTATAGTAACCCCTTATAGGAACCTATGGCTAGGAACCCTCATAGTAGTAACCCTTACTTTGATGGTCCCTTTCAGGGTGTAGGGGTCCCGTTTAAGCTTCTTCTGTCAGTCCTGCAGCGTTCTGTTTCAGGGTTCAGGGAGGTTAAGGTTTAGCGTTGGGCGAGAGGTAGTTTGTTGGCTTTCCCGATCCGAAGCTGCAATCCTACACCCCGAGGCGGGGGAAAGGATTTGAGACATATCTTCAGCGGAATTGGGGCTAAGGTTCAGGATTCTGATGGATTGGGAACTTCGGGTTTCAGGTTTGTTGATGTACGCTCTTGCGCGGCCTTGGGCTTCTGAATTCCAATGCAGATTGTCGGAAGCCAACAGGAGATTGGCTTTTGAAAGAAGCCCGAAAGCTGTGCGGATTTCGTGGCGCGAGAACTAGGCCCTAAACCCTAAACTCCAGCTTGTCCTCCGGGAAGTTCCCTCTGATCTGGACAATGAGGGTACCCGGCCTCATGCTGGAAAACGCACGGGGGGCGAGATGGATAGTTCTCTAAATTAGGGTCGCTTTAAGGGCCCTTTTTGAAAGGGTGCCGTACTGTTTGGGGAACTAAAGTGGGACCCAAATTTGGAGAACTACCCATGTACGAATGCCTCACCCAAAGACCCTCTGTGCTTGGCTGCTGCGCCCAGGTGACGCTACGCCGAATCTTCCGATTGGGTGATCTGGCACCGCCCGCAACCCACAATACCACACCCTGAACTTCTTAGAGTTTATCGGGTCTAGGCCAGAAGTCTGCGCGCAGAAACTTCAGTGCAACACTACCTGCCGGGCTCGGGCGCGGCAGCGAATTCCAAGCACAGGCTTAAATTGCTTCGTCGTTCAATCCAGAGCAAAAGGAGGGACCCTTCAGCAGGACCCCTAGGAATTTTCCCTTAATATTGCTATTTTTACCAATTTTTTAGCACATTTTCAGGTAGGGGTCCCCATTAAGGGTCCCTCCTTTTCCCCTTTGATCAAGGCACGATAACCCGAGACGATACGCAACCAGAGACCTGCACGCAGCTTCGGAGGTTCAGGGCTGAGGTTGATTCTCATCATTATTACTACTATTATTATTGCTGTCATTATTACGTACTATTATTATTATTATTATTATTATTATTGTTATTGTTATTATTATTATATTATTATTATTATTACTGTTATTATTACAATTATTATTGCTATTATTGTTACTATGATTAATATTACTATTATGATTACTATTATTTCGACCCGTCAGCCGTAACTTCGACGTGCTCCTGTAACCTCATACCCTCTCTTCTAAGCCCGAAGCCCTCCCACAGCAGCACCCCTATATGGGTGGTTGTCAATTTGGATCCTTATTATAGTAGGGCACCTAATTCATGGTACCCAAAAAGGGATCATAATTTTGACAACCATCCATATCCTAATCCGTCGCCGAGCTCTCTGCCGGATGTCGTTGATGGTCCCTTCGGCAAGTCGATCCTGCCGGCAAGGCCAGTACTTGAGGTCCGGCGCACAGAAGTCTTTGTCCCAGAATCCGCGTTCCGGCTTTGGCAAGAGACCCTGTCAGTACTTCCTACAAGCTTCTGGATAGCAATGATGTTTTCTGCGTACCATGGAGGGTCCCCGTTCCACCCTAATGTGAGTACAGAAGTGCTGGCAGGGTGTAGGCTTCCAAAAGCTCCAGAGTTTCGGGCGATGCTTCGGGTCTACTGAAATACCCGACGCGAAAATCTACACGTGTCATGCTCCTTGTTCAGTGCTTCGAGAAGCTTGCTTGCCCAAATCCCTGTCCTGCTTGGGTTCCCCATTCTGGTTCAAGCACGGCATTATGCAAGCCTCTGCGCCAACCCTCTCCCAACCCACCCCCAACCCACACTCCCAACCCACTCCCAACCCTCTCCCCAAAAAAACCCAAAAACACTCTGAACCGTAAACCCTTAAGACTGAAACCTGAGCCCCAAGCCCTGTGCTCGCGGAGCCCAACATCCGACGCCCCGCCCCCATGCTGAAAGGCATTGAAGTTTCAGTTTTTTGGTTGAAGCTTAAGGCTTAGGGTTTCGTGGGCGTCTGGTATCGTAGCACCAACTTCAAGCACCGGAGCCATACAGAGATGACAAGCTTTTTCAGCGTGCCCAAGAAGTGCAAGAAACCCCTGAAGCAACAACCGATGCTACACGGCAGACTGCAACAACCCTAAACCCTAAACCCCAAACCCCTTATTGTTTAGGATGCCACCTGGCCTTGAGCGGGTCGGTAAGAGAGATGGTTACCGAGTCGCCCCTGGCAGAGTAACTCTTCTTTGGGGGTCAGGGTGGCAGTTGTGGCTCATCTTAGATCTGGAGCTTTAGAGCCCTAAATCCTATTTGGCCCGAGCTCAGGGCAGCAATGCTTCAGGAGTTTACTGCTGCATGCTTTTTGACTTAAGGCTCGATTCAAAGTTCAGACAGACAGGCTCGAGGCTGTAGAGCAACATGGCTGTTGGGTTGAGGGAAGCAGTACAGGGCATAGCCGCCACCCCTGATTGGTCTGGCTGAAGGGGCCGCAGAGGCCCAGAGGCCTTCTTACACGTCCGAGGCTTGGTTTTAGTTAGGGTCCGGGGTTCGGGGTTTAGGGGTTTAGGGTTTAGGGATTGGGTCTCAAGGGTGTGAGGGGTTGAGGCATTCGGGTTTCATCCCGAGTTCTTAGCAACAGGGTGGGATGAAACACCCAAGAAGACATCATTGGTCCTTGGTGTCTCCACGAAAGCTGCAGCCCCAAACGCCACAAGGCGTGACCCCAGAAACCTGAAGCGAGCTTCTCGTATTTTGTCATAGCGGACTTCGAACCCCCAAAGCGAGAAAACCCACAACGTTCTCTTTGAGCGTCAATCTTCAGACGACTCACACTTCCCAATCGAAACTACAAACAACAAACGCTAACTTTGGGGTTTGGGGTTTAGGTAGGGCTTGGGTTGAAGAGTTTAGGATTCAGGTTTCGATAGGGAGGAAGCGGAGTGCAGGTTTGCCCGTCGCAGGGACATAGGGGCATGCCCGGGGACTTAGTCATCAAAACGGCTTGCGACTTAGGCTCATTGAGTCAAATCTCCAAGCTGCAATCCTCAACCCTAAACCCTAAACCCCTAAACCCTAAACCTCAAACCCAAAACCTTAAACCCGAGCCCCTGAAAGATGAACCCCAAAGCCTGAGGCCCTGCCCCCTTAAACCCTGAAGGCCGTAATACCCTGCACCTTTAAACAACCTTGAGCACTGGAATCCTTACGCTCTAATCCGTGGGGAACCCCTAAACCTTCAACCCCTAAAGGAGCCCTAACAAGAAGACGCAACGTATGCCCCTACACCCTAAAGCCTCCACCCCCAAACCCTTGATCCCAACATCTCAAACCCATAAATCCTTAAGCCGAGAACCCTGAACCCACCTGCAAACCCTGAGGCCCTAAACCTTAAAGCCCTGAAGTAATATAGGGGCCCTAATAATTAGAATAGGGTTTTGGGGCCCATTATACTATAGTTATGACAAGGAACCCACCCAAAAAATTGTACTGGTAACTACTTAGGCCCCTACTAAACCCTCTACTAAACCCTTATAATAGCCCTTATAGTAGCCCATATAGACCCTTTAAAAGGAACCCTAGGAACAAGAAACCCATTACTTAGGCCCCTATATTACAGAGCCTTCGGAGCCGCATCCGCTCCATGTCAACTCCGCCCATCGGGAGCTGCATGGCAGCCATCCTTGGGAGTCTCTATAAAGGGGTCTATAAGGGTTACTATAAGGGATCTATAAGGTTACTATGTTATAGTACCCTTAATAACATAGGGGCCTTAACAATCCTATACCTTACCTTTGCTTAGTAGGGAATGGAAGAATGGTAGTAATCGTAGTTACAAGTTTACCCCATTCCTCCATTCCCTACTAACCAAATGGAAGTATAAGGGTGTGTGCGGCTTCTACAGGGGTGTAGGGGCTTCTTTAATTTAAGGGCCGAGTTTACTTTTTCTTTCAAGATCTTTTCTCGAAGGTTTCAGGCGGTTGGAGGTAGAGAAGGATTTCTTACAATGAATTAATGTCCCCTTTGATTATTTGCAAGCGACACTTGGCGGTCATGCACTTGGCTAGCGGTGCGGCTCGCCGGCGCCGGCTGCCTGGTCGCGGCGGCGGTCGGCAACCATTTGCAGTTCGGCTCGCCGTTCTCGGGCCCTCTGGCGCATCATGTCCATGGACGCCCCTAAACCCCTAAACTCGAAAAAACCTAAGTCCTAAACCCTAAAAGCGATGGCTTTGCCGACCTCGGTCCATGCCTTGGCCCTCCGGGAGGTCCATTGGCTTCGTCTGCTTCGGAGCTAGGTCCGAGCCGGAGCCGTGTCTTCTCCACAAGTCAAGTGGGTGGTTGTCAAAATTATGGTTCCTTTTTGGGTACCTTAAATAATAGGTGCCGTATTATAATAGGGTACAAAAAAAGGGACCCTAATTTTCACAACCACCCAAGTGAAGGCCAAACTTTTGCTTGGGCGACAAGTCAAACATGCTGATCATTCTGATCCCAGAACGCCGTGCGGCAGCCGAGCTGGCTAAAACCACTTGGATCAAGACCATGGGAAGGAACTGCATGCCTTTGCTTGGGGTTTAGGACATTGGGTTTAGATTCGTTCAAGGTTTCTTAGAGATAGGGCTCCCTCTTTGGTGGTGGATCTTTCTCTCACGGCTGCTGCTGTTAAGGGTTTCCCCAGGGAGTTTCTCAGGTTCTGAAACCTTAAACCCTGGACCCTGGACCCAAAACCCTGCTTACAGGAACAGGATCACGGGACGCAGTACGTAGGCAATACCTAGGGCCAGAAGTACCCTGATCAGGTTATTGTACTTCTAGCCTTACTTGGGTGGTTGTCAAAATTATGGTCCTTTTTTGGGTCCTTATTATCATACGGCACCTAGTATTTAGGGTACCCAAAAAGGGACTTTAATTTTGACAACTACCCACTTCTCATCTGCTTACCAAGATCCGGGATCTTTAATATGCAGAACCTGGTTGGTCTGAAAAGTAGATGGCCAAACAACCGACTTAAGCGGCTTACCACAATTCAGCCCCAGGAGGTAGGATGATGGCTTAAAGGCTTAGGATAGTTCCGGCTTAGGGTTTCTGTTTAGGGCTTTATCGAGGGTTTCAGATAATCTAGAAGCTTGATGAGGAATCTCGCTCCCTGAATCAGGCCTACGGCCTTTGAGGAGAAACGCTGTTAGGGTTTCGAGTCTCGTAGTTGGATGATGTCGGGTTCTGGGGTCCTAAAGCTTGAAAATGTGAGGCTTCGGGGATGCTACAAGGGACTTCTGCTGGAGTAGAATGGGGTCTCTGGCCAAACGGTATCTTATGCTTATGGTGGGGAGTGGGGGTAAGCGTGTAACAAGATAGTCTACCTGATAGTTCAGACCCGATACAAATCTGGGTGACGGGCTCCACGCCAACATCTTCCCACCCGGGGAGGATCCGATTCTTTCCGCCGGCCTGGTTTTCTGGACCCACTAAACCCTAAACCCTAAAACCTAAACCCTCCTAGCTTTTGTGGTATATTCACGGGAACTCTAGTTAGGTTGTGGATTTCGGATATGGGCTGTCGGCTGGCTAGGGTTTTCCATGAAGCCTCCAAAAAACTAAGCAGCCGTAAACTGGCCAGAACACCGAACTTCCAAACATCTAGCAAATACCCGCTAAAGCTCGTCGGGAGAAGCCTTGTCTACCAGGGCAACCCACCGTACATAGAGCTCTACATATTGGGATTGTGTAAGAGGTCAAAGTTGTATTAACCCCATAGCTACAGCATTCCGACCCCAATCTCTACACCCCAAGTCCAAAATCCCAACCCTGTGAAGAAGGACCCCGCCCCCACGCCTAACACCTTCCCCTCCCGAAGCCTTAAGCCTCCAACTGTTTAGACTTAGGGTCTAATTTTCAAAGTGCCGGGCTGGGAAGCAAATATTAAGGCCTCTACATTACCCAAACCCCACATGTCTCGGCTTGCCTCTTTCCGACCGAAGACGCTGAGGATTTTCATGCCATTCCTTATACTTGTAGATCGAGGCTTTGGTGGTGGGAGGGTGGCTCTGCTTCCGTCAGACATGAGAGTTCAGAACCAAATACAGATCCGAAGTGGTAGAATCCTTACCCCTCCTAGAATCCTTGAAAAAAACGTGCTTTGTCTGGGAGCCGCGGGGGCGGGAGTAAACCGACCCAAATATAGATACGAAACTTAAAAGAATCCCAGTCCTAAACCCCAAAGCCTAAACCCCAATCCCGAGGCCCCAAACATAGATACCGTACATAAGAGTTTTGCCTTTCAGGTGTGTTATGTTGGCGAAGCATCTTTGTACATTCTCTTGGTTGCCATGGCGCAGAGCATAGCCCCATCGGACAAGCTGGTCGGCGCTGCTCCTCTTTTGGTAGGAAGCTCGGGATTGGTGGGTGTGTGTGTGAGAGATTATTTTTTCGTGCTGAGAAAGCTTTTGCGTGGCTCAGGGTTTTTCGGGCTAAGTTGAGCTCCTGCAGGTTGCATGACAAAGTTCGAGAAATGTCGAGAAGGATTCTTAGGGGTCTATGAGGCTTCAGGTTCTACCACACCCATCGGAGTTTGATGGGAGGATATGGGTGTGCGGTTTGGGAGTGGGTCGGGGCTGACTCCAGCCCAAAGCGCTTGTTTCCGCCCCCCAAGACTTGGTGATCGACTTCTGACAGAACTTGTGCTCGGTTCTCATCATAGGATATCATAGGTATTGCCGGAAGCCAGAATAAAAGTTGGCCGTTCTGCGACCAAGGTATGCCGCAAGATGCAACTGGCGGGTGGTCCGTGGCTTTGCTTGTGCCGAGGAACATCCCTTGATTAAGGACTACCTCTTGAACTCCCGCAGAGTTTCACAATGAGCCATCCTGAATCAACAATATCGGGGCCTCAGAGTAAGGGTTGGGGGTGTATTCTAGTGTAACCGTATGCGATGTGCAAGGGGATACGAACACCATTTTTTCATCCCCCCTGTATAAGGACCTCTTGGAGTGCCCAACCATAAACCGCGAAAGACACGAAACCCCAAAATGGACATCGTACTAAAGCCAAATCCAACGCTGATGCTCGAAATCTGAAACGTTCAATGCATAGTCTCAAGTTCTCAACTCTAAACCCCCAAAGACCCAAACTCCATAACAGAGGGGCATAGTCAGAATGGGGGTTTCGGGCATATTATACTACAGAATAAGTATTCGTAATTGCCTAGGCCTCAAAATGAAAGCCCGAAATCCAAGGCCCGCTTGGGCTTGCCTCTCTCGGCGACGTTTGATGCTACTGATGTCTGCCAAATGCTCGAGATGCGCCAACACCACCTTAGGGGAGTTGGGATGAAGGGACAATAGGGATATAGACCCTCTCAAAAGGATCCCCTCTAAGGGATCTCCCTAACACTACCTTGGGGGCCTTGGTGCTGAAGGTCCAGGGTTCAGGGCTCTTGTTGGCCTTTGGACTGAAGTTGTCACTATAAGCCCTGAACCCTGAACTGTCTGGAGTTCTGGGTTCGGGTGCTTTAGAGGTTCTGGGGTTACTTAGGGGTAATTGTCGGGTGTTGGAGCTCCAGAGGAAGTGTTATGTAGGGTCACAAGCCTTCTCTCAATTCACGAGCGCACCAACTACAAGGGCCCAACAACAACCCGTTTGAGACTTCTAACATTCTAACCATTAGTGCCAGACTCCCATCACTGATGTCTGTCACGGAAATCGGAGAGGGGTCTGAATAAATTGCGGCTCTTTTTGGAGATCCGTTGTCATCCTAATATACAGCCGCACCAACAGCCGGCTCCAGCCACGCGGGCTGCTATTTTATCTTTCCTGAGGCCTGAGAAGGCCCCTGCGTGGGTGCTTGCGCTCCACGAGCCTGAAGCTACCACACTCAAAACCCTAAACTCCTAAATCCCAAACTTTAAACCCTGAGCCTTCAAAGCCCCATTGAAAAACATGCATCTTACACCGAGGCCGAAGCAAAATGTCCGAAGTACTCGGCTACCTGAGACTTTGGCTCTTAGTGTGTTACAGTAATGTATGGGGGGGCCCTTAAAGGGTTCCAGAATGGTCTATAAAGGGTATACGGTGTAGTCGATAGGGAGCTGTTTTCGGGGCTTGTTCGTTATGAAGGCTTCGGGCCTAGGGTTTAGGGCTTAGAGTGAAGCCAACATACGACCTATTTGGGGGGGCTCCTTACTATGAGCGTGGTAGCTATAATTTCGCAATATGGGTGTTGGGATAATATAGGGCCTAGATAACTGCCAATACTGTTTTGGGGGCTCCTGATTATTAGTATTATAGTAGTAGAATACAAACCAAACCCCTATTCTGCGCCAATAGAAGGGCCTTGAAGGCTTAGGGTGACGCAGAGTTCGGCTTGAATGGAGCGCTCGTACCTTATTGAGAGCAGGGGTTCTAGGGCAAGCCCCAAACCCCAAACCCCCTAAACCCTAAACCTCCTAAACCCTAAACCCCCTTAACCCTAAACCCCCTTAAGCCTAAACCCCTTAACCCTAAACCCTGAGGTCTTTGGGGCCTTCAGCCTCCAAAGTCCTTGGACCATGGTCAGCTTGACTTAGAACAGTCTGCACAACGTGCCTTACGTGGCGTTGACGGCCTTGCTTTGTTTCCTTCGGGGTTCTTCCAAGCAGAACCAGGGTGCACCCATTAACTACGAGTTCTTGCTACAAGGACTCCCGTTAAAGAAGAACCCACGATGTATCTCCATGGATTGACAAGCCCGTTTGGAATTTGTGGACATATCTTGAACGAACCCATAGATGCCCTAAACCCTAAACCCCAATCCCTCAACCCTAATCCCTCAACCCAAATCCCTCAAACCTACCTGTTCAACTTCGTCTCGGGCAGTGACACACGGGTCTGGACAGCGCACGTGTCCTGCAGAGCAGCGAGAAGCGACAACATCGTACAAACTCCGAAGTTCGGTATGTTGAACCAATTAGGGTTTAGGCTTATGGCTCGTACGAGTAAACCTTGATTAAGAACTCCTACAACCCTTTAGAGGGTAAATGCTGCAAGCACTGCTACTGGTACAGTCTACAGCTCCACTAAACCCTGATCCCCTAAAACCCTGATCCCCTAAACCCAGAACCATCAAATCCTGATGCAGCAAGTTGGCTGGAACGGCTCGGCCAAACCAGAACAGCAGCTTGACAAGCCCTATTCTGAGCATCTTCACAAAAAACAAGCATCTGCGACGGCCACCTTCACTGGAAAGTGCACATTAACGCTGTGAGTCGCGGCTCCCGTCAATGCCTTGCCACTGCCGCTGGGCAAGAAACCGTGGTGCTGTGCCGGTACCGATGGTTGTCCCCTAAACCCTAAACCCCTAAACCCTATCAAACCCTAAACCCCTAAACCCTTCTACCTTACTGCCAGAATTCTGCTCTGCGATTTCCAATGGAATCTGTGTTGCGCATGGCTGCCAAACACGGCCTGAAGTACGAGCTCTGTCGCAGCTTGCTCGTCGATGCATGCCCCGAATACAGACACCAAGCTTGTCGGCTCGTTTTCGCTGTCAGCTTGATAATCTACGTGTTGTTTTGCCGTCGCTGATATTTGTTTATAGCCGCTCCCATAATATAGTCGTGAAGTCTTACTTCTCGAAGTCAAAATAGCATCCAAGTAAAGATCAACACCCAAGCATTGGCAAACTCTTTGTACACATGACCCAAGCCCAAAATAAACACACACACACACACATACATGAGCAATTGAAAAACCCTTCAGCAAGGATACTATTCCCAATTGTGCAAACCTCTACGACATATCGGCCCTCATGATTGGAAGTATTCTACACTGTAGCATAGTTGCAATAAGGAGCCGCCTAAGGAACGGCAAAACCCTAAACCCTAAAAGCCTTATAGAACCTTCGAAGCAACCCCCCTAAACCCTAACACCCTTATAGAGCTTCTGAAGCATTCTCCCTAAATCCTCAAACCCTTACAGAACCTAAACCCTAAACCCTAAACCTTAAACCCTCCTTTGAGTCAACTCGATCTTCAGACTGAGCAAAGTGTCCTCGCAGCTGAGTTAGGTCCAGTCGCTGCAGCGACTGCCACGGGAAGGAACTTCGTGAACTTCATGTGTTAGAAGGGGCCCCCACCCTGTAATAGTGGTATAATAGGAATATAATAGGGCCCTAATGTAATCTTTCTAGTCACTATTACAGGGTGGGGGCAGCTTCTAATTCATATGGGTCGTTGTCAAAATTATGGTCCCTTTTTGGGTACCCTAAATAATAGGCGCCGTATTAGAATAGGGACCCAAAAATAAGGGACCATAATTTTGACAACCATCCATATAACTTCATGAGAGTTTCGAGCGTTGCAGGTTTTAAGGCTGCATTCACAGCTTCAGTTTGGGGCTTCTTTGGTGTTGAGGTACATAGCAAGTGACCTGCACCCAACAGACCCGAACATGCGAGTCTCTACGCCCTGTCTGGATGAAAGAAAACCCCAGACCTGGGACGAAGTCTTTTTTTTCAAGCACGAAACCTGTTGTGGTTTCTCACAGCTTTATGGCTCGGCGGGCTCTGGTTCAAGAGTATCTCAGTAGCATCTGGAAACTTCCGTTCTGAGCGACCCCTGAAAGGTCGTTATGACAAGGATGCTTAAACACCCTAAACCCTAAACCCTAAACCCCTAAACCCTAAACCCCTAAACCCTAAACCCTAAACCCCTAAACCCTAAACCCCTAAACCCTAAACCCCTAAACCCTAAACCCCTAAACCCTAAACCCCTAAACCCTAAACCCTAAACCCCAAACCCTAAACCCCTAAACCCTAAACCCTAAACAGGGAGCCCCAAGTTTAGCCAGACTTACAAAGCCGATGAGGAACCGACCAGCCCACCACGCTACGGCTGATGATATAGAAATCCTGCACTACCCATAATAAGGAATATACCATAATTCCCACCCATAATATGGAATATACCATAATTCCCACCCATAATAAGGAATATACCATAATTCCCATAGTTTCGGGTCCTCAAGGTAATGCAGGATTTATATCATCACCCTAAGCCCGAAAACCCTACAGATCCCTTAAAGGAACCCCTATAAAGGTACCCTTATAGATCCCTTTAAAGGAACCCTAGGATTTATATCATCAACCGTATCACGGCCTTCCGCGCCGACTTCGCATCCACGGCACGGGGGGCCGCGGGCCTCAGGGTTGCTTGGGTCACAGGAGTGGGAGATTCCGAAAATTAGGGGTTTTCCGAAAATTAGGGGTATCTTTAAGGGGATTCTTTAAGGGTTCCTTAAAGGGATCTATAAGGGTTCCATAGGGTTTAGAGATTCCGAAAATTAGGGGTACCTAATTTTGGGGCCCTTATAATAAGGATCCTACTATCTAGGGTACTATATTAGGGTCCCCTATTTTTCGGAAACTCCCATGTCAGAAGGCTTGAAGGGCAAGGCCCGGCGTTTATCTTCGAAACTGAGTGTTCAGGATTCTCTGATGGTCTGTGGCTTTACCTCACTGCTTTAAAGTGGCATACTTTAGAAGGGGCCCCCACCCTGTAATAGTGACTATAAGGATTATATTAGGGCCCTACTATATTCCCATTATACCACTATTACAGGGTGGGGGCCCCTTCTAATCTAAGGCATACTTGTAGCTATAGCAGCGCAACCCTAAACCCTAAACCTTAAACCCTAAAGAGCCCAAAGCTCAGCCCACCGAAGCCGACCCGAAACATCGCCGGGAAGTCTCAGCAGCGCGCTCAGAGGAGGTCGGAACACCTGGCCACTGTCGGTGTTGAGGGTTTATGGGTTTAGGGTTTAGGGGTTTAGGGTTTAGGGGGGTCTGATGAGTGGTCACGCAATGTCACAAGCATCAGGATAAGACATCGAAGTGCAGACAGGAACGAGAGAATAAGTACCAACATCGGCGTCGTCATCATCATCACCATCACCACCATCATCATCATCATCGTCATCATGGTCATCACCGTGGTCATTTTCAGATCATCGTCATCACGGTCATCGTCATCGTCATCATGACCATGGGCATCATAATCAACATCCTGATCATCGTCGTCGTCATCATCACCATCACCATGGTCACCATCATCGTGAACCTCACCAGCCAAGCTGTAGCTGTCACTGGTATCCTCATCCTCGCTACCATCATCGTCATCGTCATCACAGCCGGAAGCACAATCATCCCCCCAGTACCACTACTGCCAACACCACCTTCAGCATTATCACCACGAGCATCCATGATCATGACTGTCATCGTGAACACCATCAGCACCTCGACAATCAGTAACATCTTGTCATAAATTGTCGCCTTCGTGTTTGATGGCTCGGCGATGGAACAAGCAGATCCAGGTAGAGCAAGAAAGCAAAACAAATGTGCGGATACCCGTGCTTCATCGTGCTTCCGATTTGCGAGACTCTAGAGAAGCAACGCAACCCAACTTAGAAAGCCACTACACTCATAAAGCTGCAGTCGAACACAACAACAGAAGTGATCTTACAGCCTGTCTCGCCTTCCCCTGGAACTATGGTTTCCTTGTTCAAGGAATGAGCGGATGAATGTCCTACGCTGCTCATCCTTCCGGAGTTCAAAAAAACCATACCTCTGCAGACACAGTGAGCAGTTGAAGCAGTCGATGAGCAAACATCCAAACTTTACCCGTATACGCGGCTAAAATGACCCAGACATCCAGCACATTAGCTCTCTCATTCAGACGCTTTGAACTGTTACAGAAGTGCAACAAGCTTGGCTAACTGCGGAAAAACCCTGTGTGCCCCGCGCAATAAGAAAAAGGGCATGAATGTGGAAGCCTGATTAACGAGTAGCATTCCTTGTAGTCAGTCATAGTTGTGCTACAACACGCATCGAAACCCTAGTGTTATTCTTAATGCCCATATATGTCCGAACACAAAGAATCAGCATATGCCTTCGGCTGGAGGAGTCTGCTGCATTTGCTGGGCCTCCGACAGGGTCGGAATAAAGCTTACACCTGTCGCGTTTCTTGGCATACAAAAGCGTACTCACACGAACGCGTCGCAAACCTGTGACTGAAATCCATGCTGTGTTTTCTGCCTCATACTATGATGCAGGAATCATTGAAACAAGGTTTCGGGGTCTCTACACTGTAGATCACTGTAACTGTTGTTTCAGGTGGCCAAAGGCATTATCCCGGTACTTTTCGAACCCTTGTATTGGCTTGGCAAGCTCTGCATTGTCGCAGCCTGCAGCCCTGTAGGAGAGCTAAACGGATCCCCAGCCCTAAAATCTAGTCTTACCTTTTCCATAGCGGGGTTGTAATGTAAAAGTCAACCACTGTTTTTGTGCACGGATCATGAAGTCTTGTTGATGGCCAGGATGCTCTTCCCAACGGTGTCGCGAAGCTATACTGAACTTAGAACCCTAGCAAAAATTATGGTTTTACCTGTTTCTTAGGGATTATAATAACAAAAAATTAGCAATTATTTCTAAGTACTCCTAAGGAAGCCCCACCAAGGTCTCGCCAGGAGAAAACTTCATAGTCGTGCCATCCATCTTCCACTCGTCGGCATAGACGACGTTGAACCTCACACCGGTAGCATCGCGACAGACTTCGTAGTCCCAACGGCCCGCAAGGTGTCGACATAGGCGCTTTTTTGCTCAAGCTCCTTCTCTGCCTTCTGAAGCATCTCAAACAATTCATCAAGTGGAAGGTCAGCCAGTGTAGGAGCTTGCTCTTCATCGCTCGTCACTTCCTCACCGACGATATCCGTCTGCTCGGGATGTCCAGCCATTGCCAGGGCTTGTCGAAGCAACTACCATTTGCAAGCTCCTTAGACCAACAGCCTGAACCCAAAGCCATCCTGGACCCTAATGTTTTCAATACCCCTCTTGTTTGGTTTAAACCGTAGCAAGCCATCCTGAACCCTCATGTTTTAAATAATTCCTGGGGTTTAGTTTACAGAGCAGTCAACCCCACAGTGCAGCCTGATTCTGCCGACCTGGCCGTTGGCTGAAGCCCACCTGAAGCGTGTCTCTGCTGCAATGACCGGCTCTTGGCTTAATTGAATTCGGGTTTGAGGTCTGGAGACTAGGGTTTCGGGCTTACTTCGATTTTACGACTCAGGGGTTAAGGTCGATATGTCTGCGAAAAGGGACTGACTGAGTGAGAAGCTTGCATAATGTGTAGAGCTTAGCCTCTGGGAGCCCGTGTCTTTGGGGCATCGTATGTTCTGTTCATCTACTGCGGGAAACTTCAGATAAACTCAGGATTTCCACCCAAGAGCCTCGAAGTTGTAGTAAAACCCCTATGAACCATATGGGTATGTACATACATTGCACATATATGTATATAATGTACATACATATAACACACACACATATATATATGTATATATTTGTTTTTTTGTATACATACATACATATACACACACCGATGCCTAGTGTGTGTGTGTGTGTGTGTGTGGGGGGGTGGCTATCTGCCTCTTCTCTCCCTTTCTCTCTCTCTCTCTCTCTGTGTCACACTCTCGCTCTGACTGTCTCTCTCTCTCTCTCTCGAACATTGCTGGATTTGCGTTGCAAGCCGTCTATACATTCCCTTGTCGTGTCTGTCTGCACCACGTGAAGTCAGGGCCTGCTTCTGGAAGAAGCCCCCAGTGTCGTCAAGGAGCGTCCCATCGTCGTCGATGGCCTCACCATGACGGATACATATATATATATATACACACACACACACATGCTTCGGGGTTGAGGGTTTTTTGGAGGATTTTCCAAGGTTCAGTGTCTTGGGCTTTATATGGTTGAGGAAGCTTCTGCGGCTTCAAGATGCGAGCCGACCAGTCTAGAGGGCATAGCGACTGTTTGGAGTAGGGCTGCGGGGTGAACTCATGCTTCAAAAGAGTTCTCTGCAACAATAATGCTGCTCCAGATGGGAGGCTCCTATATTCCGTTTTCACGTTTGACCTTTCCGGCAGCTTCCACTTCGTCGGTCTATGTGTCTGTATGTGTCCGTAGTTTGTTTGTTTGTGCGTGTGTGTGTGTGTGTGCGTGTGTGTGTGGGTGTGTGTGTGTGTGTGTGTGTGTGCGTGTGTGTGGGTGTGTCTGTGCGTGCACTGGGTCTTGGTCTATGCCTATAGGTCTAAACCCGCTAGACAGCGTGACATCATCCGTACCGGACAAACCCAACATGGGATTTTGAGAAAGTGCAGGGCTCCTTAAAGGAAGACCTTCAGCCGTAGTATCCGTACTATCCAGATTCCTCAAGAAATTACCCCCCAATTTTGGAGAAGCTTTCGAAGAGGGTCGGTTGTGCAGGTTGTGGCTGAAGCTCGCCAAAGTCAGAAAACACAGTACGACAACTACACATCCTGAATGATCCTGAGCTCCGAATCTCTTTCCCCGAACATTTTCGAGGCCTAGAACCCCAACCCCAAAACCCCAAACCCTGGCAACCCCTTTTCCTATACTGAACTTAGAACCCTGGCAACAATTATAATTATAGCTGCTTCTTAGGGATTATAATAACCAAAAATTACAAAATATTTCTAAGTACCCCTAAGTTTATAACACCCCAATAGATCCCCGGACTCCTGCAATGGCCTTCCATCCCAGGCAGGGAGGCGACCGAGCCTTTCGAGGCACCGGGTTTCGGACTCTTTCAGGTTTAGGGTTTAGGGGCGTTCAACGACTAACGGCTTGGAGTTTGAGGGTTCAAGAGCTTCTGCAAAATGCCATCGGATGCCCCAAAAAATGGAAGACAGGAGATCCAAGGAAGATGCGAATCTTCAGCGTTTTGGGTTCAAGCTTTAGGGTTGAGTCCAGCTGTGGCGTTGGTAGTGGCAACTGGTGGATCCACACCACTTGGCGAAGGTCAACTTATATAACACTGAAACAAGTTACACAGCCGGGGCATGTAAAGAAGAATTCGTACTTGTCACTTGCGCAAATAGACTTCCGACTTCAGCCGGTTAGGATGTCTTCGCTGGGCAAATTTAAAGAGCCGGCACTGGCCTGGAATTACCTATGACTCCTTTGACTGCGACGACCTTTTCTGTGCGAGATGATGATGAGATGACGAACTTTGTCGCGACATACACCCGAAACGCGGAAGGGACGAAGGAGCGAAGCATCACTCCTGCGAGATATGGTGATCAGATTGCGATCGCTGGAACAGGTCTCGTTGACCGCGTACGAAAACGGCTGGGCTGGACAGTCCGATTCGAGAACCTACGGGCGCGGTTCCGAAAAAAAAGCTTAGGGACAGCATTGCAGGATGCTTCTTGGCTGCATTGCTTAAATGATAAGGTGGGCATCATGGTGGGGTTTCCTATATGGGGGAGTCATGGAGTAGCTCTTACTTTGGGTGAGCCAAGAACCCCTGGGCATGTAAGCCCCCTGGAAGCTACAAACTGAACCCTAAACTCCCTAAACCCCAACCCTAAACCCTAAACTCCCTAAATCCCAAGCCCGACAAGCCTGAGCCCTAATCCTCGACCCCTCACCTCGCGGGCGTTGATCATCAAGCACTTGCCTTTCAGCCCGTTGCTGATAACCTGAAGCCACGCAGTTTCGGGCATCCGAGACTCTAGTCACCTCGAACTTCACTCGGACTCTCGAGAGGTGTGAAACTTCAAAATCTCTGGTCGACTACACTACTTGGATTAGTGTGGCCCTTTGTTTGCAACATTTCAGGGATTCCGCAGGAACACTTGCAGATTCCAGGCGGACAGTACCCACAACTCTTGTTGAACGCACTGTGCAAGAGGGCCCTATGAGGGAATGTGAGAGATGTTGTGGATCTTAGGTCCTAAATCCTAACAGTTCTACCAGCCAACCTCAACCGTCAAATCCCAGTCCTAAAGTGCCGTAGACCCTGAAACCGAATCAAATCCTAATCCGAACCTGTCCCCTAAACGGCCCGAAACAACACAACCTAAACGCTGAAATCTAAACCATGCACCCTCCTAGGTCCTGAGGCCCACACCACGCACCCTAAACAGCTGCGAGCCCTAAGTTGGCCAAGGAACCCAACCCGGTTCGAGGCCACCAGAAGCCTTCTCGCGATAGTGGGCGACGTGCTTCTGAGCAGGAGTGGCTTGTGTTCAATGCAGAGCTCTGGGTGGTTCAGTTATGGGTTACAGGACCATGGGATTTAGGGCTGTGATATATGATAGCTGAGTACCATGGGGTGATGAGTGCTTCTCGGGTTTTGGGATTTTGGGGTTTAGCCCGGGGTTGAGTCCCTGGTAGTAACGCCCACATGTGTTTTCGAAAATACCAACCTCTATAGAACCCTCTAAACGGTTGATGAGAGAAATCCTGCATTTACCAAAAAAAGGCATATACCTTAATTCCCATAGTTTAGGGAGTAGTGCAGGATTTATGTCATCAACCGAAGAACCCTCAACCGAAGCCTCCTAAAGAGCTCCTCCACACTAAGCAGAGCCCGAGACCAGTCCTGCCCATCGACCTGAACCAGCTCCAGATCCGAATCTGGATCCTCCGGGTACTATACCCAGGGGCCCCAAAGTAGTTCCTTTTTGGGGTTACCCTAGAGGATTCTATATATGAACCCCTTTGGGGCCTTTGGGTAAATTACCCACGGTTGATGGACAAAATCCTGCATTACCCATTATAAGGAAGATACCATAATTCCCGTAGTTTAGAGTCCTTAGGGTCATGCAGGATTTTGTCCATCAGCCGTATAAATTACTATTACACAGTTAGTTGTTATTCTTAATTCTTAACCATCATTACGCAGTAGGGCTTTGGGTTTCCGGTTCAGGGTTCGGGGTTGTTGGGCTTTAGGGGTTTCGGGGTTTACTGGGTTTAGGGGTTTACGGGGTTTGGGGGTGTTGAGCTTTGGGGTTTGAGGGGCTTGAGGCTTGAGCCATGGGCTGCCATCAACATCAAAGGGGCTGTTGCTATCAACATGCGCCTGGTTGCACGCCATCGGAGGCGATAGATTTCAGGATCTTGCCCAAGCTGAATTCACAATTCGGATGCTGTCGAGATCCCATAGAATGCGGGGTGCAGCCAGGGAACCCAAATGCAGTAAACATCTTCTGGAGCAGAACATCTCCAACACACTGCGAATTTCATTGACTGCAAGCAAAAAGCCGTGTGTCATTCATTCCCGATAGTTGCATTCATTGAGCCACCCTGAATGGAATCACCCCGACACCGAATTACCTCAACAGCTGGGATGTTTCATAGCCCAATTACAGTGTAAGAGAAATATTATACTGTTTGCCAAGCTTCGGCCTTCCTACCGTCGTACTTTGGGACAGCGTGCACTTCTTCCGAGATGTGCCTAAACCATCTAGACCCGTGCACTCTGAAACCACTACCCTGAGGATCAGAGAGGTCAAATCCCCTGTCCTGCTCCTTGAACGCCTCCTTCTGGTAGACCTCGGACTTTCTGATTCTTCTCATCTCAAACCAAACAGGAAGTACAGGGTTGTTGCTTTCCGAGTGATACCAAGCTCTGAGAACCAGAAGGAAATCAAACCAGAAATTTCAATACTAAGCCAGCCAATGCCGAAAATTATGAAGCATGCGCTATGGGTAACTCAAGAAATCCAGCGTTGTAGCGTTGTGCCTTCCCCGCCAGCCCTCTCTGCGATGGCGAAATGCGTTTTCGATGAAACTCCAAACCCGGAATGCCAGACCCGGCAACCACTTGGAATCCCAGCAGCCCCTGAACTAATGAAACACTAATCACAATCAATCAATCAATCAATATATATATATATATATAATATAATATGAAGAAAAAGTAGTAAGGGTACCCTTTGTCCTGCGACTCGTTTTTAATCAGGCGACCCCAAACTAAAGCATGCAAAAGGACACTGCTGGGAGACCGAGACGAGGTCTTCACCAGAGTTTTCGTTTAGGATTTCAAGGTTTATCGGTTAGGATTTTGGGGCTTGCAGGGGGTTTTGCAAGAACGTTGGCCGCTAGAGCCTCCTGACGATCGCGGTGCTTCAGTCGATTGCTGACAAAGCCGGAGGCTGCGAGCTTGCGCTTTTTGGGGACCCTTGGGCGTAGCGGGCCGCCTCGGCCATGTTGAAACGCAAGTTGCATGGAGTTCGAGTCTTGGAGATCAGGACATACCGCAGGCCCGAAAGGTGTGGCTGTAATTTTTTCTGTCTATTTTTTGGGGGAGCTGGGATGCCACCGAAGCTCTGCGGTTTGGATTGGGTTTGTGGCTCAGGCTTCTCAGGCCATCCGGTAGGTTTACTACCTGCCAGGATTCAAATTCATTTCTGCGCCTCGGGACTTTCTCACAAAGGGCTGTATGCCTTTGTCAGCACCACAAGCAATCACAACTTCATGCATGAGTTCAGAAGAAAAACTATACTTGCCGAAGGCACCTAAACCCGCTGCTAAAGCCTCCGTGGGCTAATAATTTCGGAAGTTTAAGATTGGAGTTTAGGGTTTAGGACAGTCTCCCGAGCAGCCTTTTGCGTAGCGGATCCGGCTTGCGAGTGGTTTGCAGGAAAAGGGGCGTAGGAGGGCTTGACAAGCTTGGGGAACGCAAATGTAGTGGAACCTGTTATATAGAGGTAGAAACCAGTAAACCGATTTCAAGGGGTGAAGCAACCCTGAAGTTAGAGATTTGTATGAATCCCTTCATGGTGCAGGGCTGAAGACATTTGCGTCGGGCTTTCCAGCGCCCGTTCTTCGTCCTCCTAGCATGATACTCGAGTTTCCTAGCAGGGGCCTGATGCATTGATAGCGGTAGTGCTCCTTACTCAGGGTTCCTTAACAATATTAGTCTCTACTACAACGCAAAACACTAGGGTCATCTTGAAGGTCCGTTTGCGGGGCCTCCAGGCCTTCAAACTCCTGAGCTCTTCGAACCCGAATCGCTCCAAACCCTACAGTAAAACTCTAGAACAGTAACCTGCTTCAGGGATTATAAGGCGGGTTCAAGAGATGCGTTCTCTCACAAGCCAACAAAGCTCGATAAGTGTTCTTGCTAACCAAGTTCAAGATGTTTGTAGGGCCGTTAAGGAACTTCGACGCAATAATTCGCAATTCGATACTGCTTTTGTTTTTCTGGGGGGAGGGTAGCATGCTGCGATAAAAATAGGGACTGTATCAGGAGAATGCTCACTAAATGTTTCGGCCCCTATACATGCTTCTGGGGGGTGTATATCCCAAAACCAAAGCCCTTAACCTGCCTTGGCAACCTACAGTTGTACTCTCAGATGAACTTAAACGGGGTAGATCTTTGGGGCTGTGGGTGAACCCTACACCCCAAAGTCGTGGAGGGTACTTGGGCCTACTGCACCGAAACTCCTTCCCTGTAGCTGCGGCTGAGCAACGGGTCTTCCCGGGGCAGACAGTTCCAAGCTAAGGACATACCTGCCGAAAATCATCCCCTAACCACGATCCTCAAGACCACTCGCTTTCAATGCCATGCCCGAAACCCAGTCTATGACGTTCAATCCGCAAGATTCAATCAAAGATGTCTAAGAAAGGACGGCTGCACCAATACACAGACTGGATTCCTGCGAAGGGGTTCTTGTCATAAGCTTAATCAGGAAGCCACAATACTCACTATTGATTCACGTAAACTAATTCCTTATGAAACCCTGCAAACCCGAATCAGGTAGTTCCCTGACAAGAATCCACAAGTCTAGAGAGAGAGAGAGAGAGAGAGAGAGAGAGAGAGAGAGAGAGAGAGAGAGAGAGAGAGAGAGAGAGAGAGAGAGAGAGAGAGAGAGAGAGAGAGAGGAGAGAGAGGGAGAGAGGGAGAGAGGGAGAGAGAGAGAGAGAGAGAGAGAGAGAGAGAGAGAGAGAGGGAAGAGAGAAGAGAGAAGAGGAGAGAGAGAGAGAGAGAGAGAGAGAGGGATAGGGAGAGAGAGAGAGAGGGGCGGTAGAGAAGGAGAGGGGGAGAGAAGGAGAGAGGGAGGAAGAGAACAAGAAGCCCAGAAACATCTTTTCGGAACAGGAACGAGGCCTGAAATTTACACATCGGAATCAACCGCAGTCTAGGGAGTAGCGCGACTGCGAGGAGCCAGGAAGCCATGCGTTTTAATGTTATTGCTCTTGAAATTTTGAGCTGCAGTAATGGAGAACGACCCGCCCCAGCGGGTAGGAAGTAAGTCACTAGCTAGGAAACCTCAAACCCGAAGCTAGCGATAATTTCTCATGGCACAACCAGTACCATACGCATGGCTCCCAGCAGCTACATAGAGCAACGAGTTTGTGAGGACAAGAGTAAGAACACAACAATAAGATGAAACCTAAACCCTAAACGTAGCAACCCTTAGCACTTGAAAAGCCCATGCAGTCTCTGGGACTGGTGGCCTGGGATGTTAAAAAGCTTCAGACGTGTTTCAAGGATATGGAATAACTTCCGGGTGCTATTCGGAGTAAGAATGTTCGTATCAGGTACCTACCTGGACCTACCTACAAGAATAGCCTGTGAACCTTCAAGCAGGGTAATGCTCTTTCGTGAACTCTCGAATTGACAGTGCTACATCCGCACCCTAGATCCAAACACACACAAGGTTGGACAAACCTGATGACAAGAATAATCCTGAAGCATGCTTGCTAGGCAAACCAATAACAACATGGATGCTGCCCCTATTTTTTAACCTCGCAGCAAACAAAGACAACAGGAAGTAGCAGTAAGTTTTCGAGATCCCCAAATACAATAACCCAACCAATGACAGACTCTAACACATGGGTGGTTGTCAAAATTATGGTCTCTGTTTGGATCCCTAACATGATACGGCACCTACTATTTAGGGTACCCCAAACCCTAAACCCTAAACCCCAAACCCTAAACCGTAAACCCCAAACCCTAAACCCCAAAAAGGGGCCCGAAGTTTGACAACCACCCACATACCGGAACCCGGAACATGGCCACTTTTCGGCCTCCCTCTTAGGCCCCCTGAAGTCAAGACTGCCCCTCGAATCCTTGGCCCTGGCCCCAAACCCCCAAAAACCGCAATAGTAATGGTCACAGTAATAATCGTAATGGTAATAATTTTGTAGTAATAGTACTAGTAATCTTAAGTTTCAAACAGGCCCTCAACCCTTCAAGTTCGTAACCTCAACCCTGTGAGTGCCCAGGATCGCGCCGTCCATTCAGCTCGGGCTTGTAGCGACCTAGGCAGGGAGGCCCCTGCACTTCATAAATGTCTTTCTTACCCAAAGGCCCCAAAGTAGTTCCTTGTTGGGGTTCATATATAGAATCCTATAGGGTAACCCCAAAACGGAACTACTTTGGGGCCTCTGGGTAGTTGCTGAGTTCATAAGCCACCAAAAAGTGTACACTTTCAGTCTTGGAGTGGGTAATATTATCCCAAAAAGTGTAGAGTGCATCCACTCAGCTACTAAGCTTTTCACAGCATGCAGAGTCCACCAGCAGTCTGTATCTAAGCCATGCATCATTAATCATTAGCCAAGCCATCATATGTAGTTACTTACATCAATCATAACAGGTAACGAGCCCTTTCAATAGCCACGATTCTGCCTTTGAGGGATTGCGCATTTGAGGGGTGCAGTCTCCCTCTCGCAGGGAGGTGCGGTCTTGGGCCAAGGGTGTACGAGGAAGGGTCTGTTCCAAAGGCAGTTTCGAGGACCGGGGCTTTTGGGTTCAGGGAGCGTTGAGAGAGAAGGGGAGGTGGATGCGAGTGAGAGCTTCAGGGACGTGGGTTTAGGGTTTAGTTGCATGAAGGCTTCCAGGGGTCTAGGAGAACAGGATCTAGGATTCAGGGGCTCCAGTGCTGCAATTCAGCCCCCCCAGCTATTGCTGTGTAGCATTTCTGGCACGGGGTGCAGGCACTGCAATGGGTAAGCCGGGCTTTCGAAAAAATCAATCATTTTACAATTGTGTCTACTGGCTTTTCCCGAAGCCCTAGATCGAACAAGTTTTTGGCCGACATGAATCCTCAGAGGTTAGATCACAAGATCCTGAGGACCTGGCATCTCTGCAGGACTACTGAGGAAGGAGGGGGACCTGCACGATCTTCGTCGTCCTGTCTCACCGGGACCATGTGGGTGTATAGTGTTGTATGTACCCTAAGCCCTATACCCTAAACCCTATACCCTGAACCCTATACCCTAAACCGTCTGAGACGTGGGGTTTAGAGGATCTGTTTCGTTCTTCTTACTGATCTGAAATCCGAGCCATGTCGAGTTGACTTCTGCATCCTTTAACTGTACAGCTCTGTTCCGTAATTCTTATATGCCGCATGTACCTTCTCCCCCTTGGAGTTCCGGTGGGAGTGTCAGCATATCCCACAGTAAAGGTCCCTGGGGCATCCTGTCAGTATTCCGAGGTTCAACGCGCTAAGTGGGGGTTTCCGAAAACAGAGGGTACCTTATTTTGGGGTCCTTATAATAAGGATCCTACTATTTAGGGTACTATATTAGGGTCCCCTATTTTCGGAAACTCCCAAGTGTCATGAGAAACGAAAACCTTCGCCCAGGCGTCCTCTTGGCTTCTTTCCGATGCTTCTCGACTGCTGTGGGACGCAACAGTCGAAACCGAGCCAACAAGAAGAGCATGCTCGGTGGAGTCTTAAACATGCTGCACATAAAGCCCCATCAAGACATAAGGCGTATAGACGCCGCAGCATCGCCACAACGCCCTTCCTTTGTCCTAGTCACTCGGGATTCAATTTGCGAGTCCTAGAACTTAAACGGCGGCCACTGCCGTCCACTGTCAACCCTCTTACCCTTCGAAGGTCGCAAACGTGTCGAATGTCCACCCTTACACTCTCGAATACCTCCAAACGCATGGATATGAGCACTCCTACATCTGAACCACCATTGCAACTCCAAAGAAAGTGTTGGCAAGCCGAGGACTGTAAGCGCTAGTCTGAACCCGACATCCTTCCCTCTGGGCCTCTCATGCTAAGCACATAAGCCGTTCGGTGTCAAAGGTGCAACCCTGGCGACGTCCACGCCTCGTCCTCCGACAGCAGGGCAGAATCGTCCTGAAGCACAGAAGGAACCCAGAGGCCGAAGGTTCATGGTCACACGATTCAAGGACCCATAAACCCTAAATAATCTAACAGCAAGCATCGAGATCCTCTTATATCCTTGCAGAGGGAGCCCACGGTGTGAAAGAAATGCTCTCACGACCGGCACATACGACTTTTCAGGACACCCCCCCAAACCCCAAAGCCCATTTCTCTGTCCGGTGCCTCAACAACGCACTCCCGCTCGTCGCGAAACATCTGGTCGGCCTCACCAGAGCAACCCCTAAACCCTCCAAAACCCAAACCGGCCCAAATCCTTACTGTAAGGGCGCAAATAATTCAGGTGGCTTTTAGGGTATAGTCTAGTATAACCATAATGAGCATAAGGCTCCCTGCGGAAAAAATCTTCCACAGTAAGCCCTCAACCGCCGAAACCCCAAGCCGTGAACCACAAAATACGGAACTCCCAACACCAAACTCCCAAACCCCTAAATCTCCCGTAAACTCTGGACAACCTTAGAAGGGGCCCCTAAACCCTGTGATAGTGACTATAAGGATTATATTAAGGCCCTAGTATATTCCTATTATAACCCTTGACTTTCGGGGTTTAGGAGTATGAGCAGGGCATAGGGCTGTAGGGTCACGGTCAGTGGTCCCCCTTGATATTTCTTAGCTACACTGACAAGAAGAGCATAGCATATCTCGCGGGATTCTCGTTGCATGGTATCAAGCGGAGATGTCGGCGCAGGCTTCCCAAAACAGTCCTCCTGCACTGATTACTCCTTCCTCGAACTTCCCTCTGCCTCAGCATCAGTGAGGCCAGCCGGTATCACCGGGACCGGATTGGCGGCCTGCAATTGGGGACTTTGGCTTCAGGGATTCGTGCTTTCAGGCTTTGGGATGAGCACCCAAGGGCTCCAGTCACGCGAAGAATGGAATGCCAGGTGACATGTCGCATGCTATTTTACAAAGGATGGGACGCAGATTTGCGTTATGGGCTTCGGCCTTGTGGATTTCTCGCTAGTTCAATGTAGCGCGGAAGACCTCAATCCCATAAGCCCTCCACACGCTAAGTTGTTGAACGGATGCTAGAACTACCGTGAAGAAGCGACCCTCACGCAGCTGCCCCAATCGGCCATATAAGATCGTGGGTCCTTTTGCAGACCACAATATTTAGCCTAGATACCTAAGATTACTTAGCCCCCAAAACGCCACCTTATAGTAGTTTTCCTGACACATGAAAGAACCCTGAACAACCATGAAACTGCATAAAATCTTAACAACCCTTACGAGCTTATGAGAGTCTAGCAAACCCCAGGCTCTTAACACGCATCGTATACCCCAGGAGCATGCTCGCCCTACACTCTGACTAAACGAAATCCTGAAATGCGAGCCTCTGAACAGGGAGCGACCCCAAATTTCGTTGACCCTTCTGGGGCCCTTGAATCGAACTCTACAGGTCCAGCCAGCAACCTCAAAATCCTGAACCCGTGCCAATCCTTTAAAAGGAACCCAAACCTCTCCTAAACCTAAACCGGCATAGATTCCCCCTGAGTTCGAACGTCAAAACTCTAAACACCTCATGAGCCCCTACGTCAAACGCCAACTAGGGCCCCAAGAGCCCTAAAGCCGAAATGCTCTTTCGCACCCCGCCTTCGGAAGTGCGACGTTCAGAAAGGCCCGGATCTGCGGCACCGGTGCCCCGCGGAACACCAGCAGCCTCTGAGGTGGAAGATTCGGGTCGCTTTCAAAGGGGTCTATAGGGTCCTTTTAAGGGGGTCTATAGGGTTCCTTTTGGGGTCCTTTTAAGGGGGGGGGGTCCATTGGGTGTCTTTTTTAGCGCCGTTTTTTTCGGGGGGGGGGTTTGAGGTTTGGTAGGGTCTAGTCTAGTGTAACTGCAAAACTAACCAGTGGTTTGGGGGTTCCCTTGGCTCTTTAGCTCCTTATTTAGAAGGGATTATCATCATCCCTGGCTCCTTAGCTCCTCCAATATCAATGGCTAGAAAAGGTTCGGCTGAGTTTGGAGGGTTTCGTTGCTGTTCTGTTGATCATTCCCTCAAGAGCCCTGCAGTCGGTTGGGGGAAGCTGCACCCAAGTTCTGTAATTCATCAACATAAAGCTCTTTAATTTTTTCTAAATTTTCTTCTTCATTTTCGAAAAGTTCAGAAGCCCAACCAGGAAAGAACAAATACTCCAGGGGCCACAAATCAGTCGAGTAGGGTTCGGGTATACTCTACCACTGCTACCACATGAGCGTTCGTTTATAGGGGCTGAGTACGGTGTGAACCAGGATCAGCTTCCTCCTGAAAGCAAGCTTGGCCCCTACTCCCCTAAACTCTACACTCTAAACCTCCCAAGACCCAGCCCCTAAACCGATCGCGTATCGCCTAAAAACAACCATAGAAGACAGCACGGCCACCGAGGCCTTGACATCTTCGTCCGAAACTTCAAATCCCAACGAGCTTATACACCTGAAGCCCAAAAGAGTCGCCATCCAGCCCTCAACCCTAGAATAGGGCTCCTTTAAAGGCTTCCATTTTAAAGGTGTCTATAAGGATTACTTTAAGGGCTACTATAAGGTAGATCCTGAATCCCAAACCCTTAACTCCAAACCCCAAGCACTCAAGCCTGAAATGCTTTCGGACCCTCATCGCACCCCCGCAGCCACAGGGGTGTCTCGTCCTGCTCTCTTCACCAGGCCTAAACCCTAAACCCTGAACCCTAATCATAGGGTGTTTTACTCCCTCTTTCCCTAAGGCTCCATGTGCCCATATAGTATATACACTGGCCTTAAAGTACTCACTATATAGGTACATTGGGCCCAAAGTATATACTATTTGGGTACATGGACCCTTGGGGTTTTCGCCAGGGCACCCCAAAATCTTTGAGAACTCCTCCACTGTGAGGCGAAGCCCCCCAGCCTTGACTCTGTTCGGGTTTGAAAGGGTTTGCATAGGTTCTTGTAGGGTTTTGACATGCCTTGAAACAGGGTTTATAGCTTTTCCCTGCTTTTCTCGCATTTCGGAGGGCTTGCAAGCTTTCAAAGGAATTGGGTTTCTGGACTTAGGGGCTTAAGGCTTCAAGATTAAGGAGTACGGTATAGGGCTTAAGGTTTAGAGTTTAGGGTTTAGGATGCAGAGGGATTCAGTTGCTGTTTACTTGGCTTGGCTACTTGTACCAAGACGACGGAGAGCACAACCGCAAACGCTACAAAGAGCAACCCTAAACCCTAAACCCTCATAACTCGGTTACTAATGAATTATTCATCTTTTTAGCAGCTTCTGGACTGAGGCAGTGCTATGATCTTCTCTTCCAAAAGTCTTCTGTGGCAGTTTGGGGGGTAAGCCCCTAAACCCTAAATCTTAGCAGCTTCAGCCCTGCAGCTGGGTACAAACCTACACCTTAAACCCGCAAGCCTTACCACAAGCCTTGAAGGCCCCGAGCATGAACCCTAAAAGCCAACAAACACACCTACGCCCGAAACCCCGAAGCTCTAAAGCCTCTTGTGCTCTCGTAGAACCCTAAGAAACCCTTAAGAGGAACTACAGAAACAGACTATCACGGCCATCAAAAAAACCAGTCAAAGCCAGGGCCCCCCGACCACGACGCAGCAATGCAACGTTTCGGCGAAGAGCTCTGGACCCGGAAAAGTCGCTGCATTCCTGAGGATGTGATCCACTTGGAGGGGTAGGGTTTAGGGTTGAGGGTTTAGGGTTTCTTAGTAAGTAGGTTATAAGTGGAGTTATACGTACCCTAAATGGAGTTACCCCAATTACAACGCTACTTATAACCTACTTACTAAGTCCCCTGCCCCTCCAAGTAGGGGCCGATAATAATTGGAATAGGGTTCCTGTAAAGGGTACTATAAGGGTTCCCTCAAGGGTTCCGTAAGGGATCTATATGCATCAATAATTACAAAAGAGTTTGGGTGTATACAGAGCTATAGCCAATAGTCATAACCAGGAACCGCCCACAATAGTATTGGTAATAATTTAGGCCCCGGCCCATATAGTATATAAGTTGTAGGGTTAAGGGCTGAGGGTTTACGATTTCAGGTTTCAGGGTTTAGGTGTATAAGGCATCACGTTTAGGATAGGGCTTAAGGTTTTAAACAGCCTCAAAAGGGGTATTGAAAGGGTAGCAGCACAAGCTCGCAAACCAGTATGCTGTGGGCTTTAAAGCTTTACCACTTTGAGGCTTCAGGGCCTTATACATCTTAGGGCCTAGGGTTTAAGGTTCGAGGCTTGAAATGTTCATAAGGGTCGCGGCTTTGGGCTTGAAGGCTGTAGAGCGTTTATGGATTTTGGGCTTTGGGGCTTTGGGTTTTTTTTGGGTCTTGGCGGCTTGAAGACTCAGGGGCTTCTCAGGGGCTTAGGGAATGTAGGGGCCTTAGTAATCAGAATAGGATTTTGGGGCCCATTATACCATAATCAAAATAAGGAACCCCCAAAATAGTATTGGGAACTTAAGCCTCGCAGTGCTGGAGGAAATCGCGCCATCGGGCGCCGCTGGCGGACTAGCATGTACATCGTCGACTTGTCAGTCAATGTACTAGCCAGAATCAGGATGACATATCGCGTCTTTAACGGTCAGCGGATAGCCCAAGCATAGCAGCGATATCAATGCCTCATAGTAGCATGGCCGTTCCAGCGGATTTCTGGCGCCACACATGTACATTTGGTTGACAATGCTGCACAACTTTCTGCAACAAAGGCTGGGTGAACTTGTGCTGGTTGCCGATAAGAAACTGAGGCAAGTGTGGCTGAACCGCCAGGTCGTGCGTCAGACAGGACACGCGCGAAACGTGTAGAATGTTAGGTGACTGCCGAGCAAACCAACTGGCTTCTCCCCTAAATTACCAAAACCTTCCGCAAACTCGAAAAGTGTGAGGCCTCCCTGCTTGCTAGACTGTAGTGTGGATACATACATGTATGTCTCTCTCTCCCTCTATCTCTACATATATGCTTCTTTATGCAGAGAAATTCAGACATGTGTGTGCCAGTGGGGAAACATACATATATACATACCTACCTACCCCCACCTATCCATGCCTGCCTGCATGCTTGCGCGCGTGCGTGTGTGCATGCATGCCTGCATACATACACATTCTGAGATTGCGACCCGACAAACAAGTAGGGTCAGGGCGCTTACTACACCTGATTACGGGGCCAGGTCAAGAAAGATAAGTCCCAGCTGTTTAAGGTGACATCCTTCAGCTCTTGAGCCCAACGAATATCAGCTCCAAGCGCCTGACTCCA